GGCTGCAAGTCTACCATGGAGCAATGTGGAGACCAGAGGTGCTGACAGACAAGGAGAGAGTGTGAGGAGCAGGAGATGGTGACCGGGGATTGCCACTCGGAGGTCCTGAGTAAGGACAGAAGTTGCCATCACAGAGTCGTGTGCCAGACTGCCATTTCCCAGAACAGTGCAGGACCGTGCCTGAACCCGACTCCTGGAACCATGCTTTCTGTTCTCTGCATCCAAATCATCACCTATGTAGCCAAGGACTTTTCCACCCAGCTTCTCCCAGGCCAGCACATCAGAGCTACAGGATGGAGGCTGAACCGTATCCTCCAAGTTCATGACTTCCTGTTATCTCAGAGTGTTAACTCAGTGTTTGGAGCATTTAAAGAGATGACTAAGTTGAAGTGAGATCAGATGAGATTGGGACGATGACAGACAGAGGGATGACCGTGGCATGATAGACAGAGGAGTGACCAAGTGAAGACAGAAGATACCACAGATACAGTCTAGAAGCTAAGCAATTCCCTTGAGGCCCAGTCAGGGGCCCTGCAGGGACATTAATCACTTCCGGGACAGAGAGGAAAGAGGTCCCCACTGGGAGAGACACCACTTTATGTTTCTTGCTGATCATATGTCTATGAAATACCAGCTATGACCCGCAGTTGAACCTCAGAGTGTCCCTCCCTGCACTTCTGACTGGAAGCCACCGCCTGGGCGTGGGGAAGGGGAAGCATAGGTAGAATGTGCTTATCGCCAGGCCCCATGTTCTCAAAGAAGCTGACCTGAGAAAGGGGAGGAGAGTTTACGAAGAAATCAGAAACTATGCTGCTTGCTGGTTCTCACTTTCTCAGGACTGCCACACTGGCACTTGAGCGTTAACGCACGTGTGATAAGCAAAGAGGCTTCGCCACCACAGTCAGGTAAGGCCAGAGAAGACATGCTGTGGTCAGCTGCACTACTGCAGCCCAAGTCTACAAGCACTTCTCCCTGGGGGTGTCAAGCCCTCCTCCCTGTGGGGGGTCAATCAAGCCCTCATCCCTGTGGGTGTCCGGCTATGGAAAAAGCACTTTGCAGGTGTGACCAAGTACTAAGTCTTCAGGTGAGGGTGAGTAAGTGAGTTCCTAGGTCAGCTAACTACAAAGGTGTTCTTCTAAGATGGAGGCAGACAGAGAAGGAGGTAAGTATAGTAATGTAGCCTCAAGCCAAGGAAAGAAAGCAGCCACCAGTAACTGAGAAATAAGGACTGAATTCTATACAGGGTCTCCCAAGACAAGCTTCTGGTACTTCAAGTGTGTGTGTGTGTGTGTGTGTGTGTAAAACCAGTAAGCTGGGTAGGGGTGACTCTTGCCTAAAATCTTAGCACTTGGGAGGCTGAGACAGGAGGGTAGCCATCAGTTCAAGGCTAGCCTGGGCTACCTAGTGAGTTTCAGACAAGCCTGGACTTCAGAGTAAGACCAGGTCTCATTTTTTTAAATTAGCATACTATCCTCATCCTACATGAGAGGTCTTTATGATGGCACTTTCACTCAGGCGCGTCATGTGCTGTGACCATGCCCTCCCTGGCCCACGTGGGAGAGAAGATACAACGCACTTGTCTCTTTGTTTCACTATGATGCTGTCCAGTCCCACTCTCATCTCCTGGATGTTTTCTTCTGTTGAAATAAACTCCATTGAAATGTATACTCCATTTTCTTTTACCCACTCACCTGTTGGGGGGGGGAATGTCACTGTTTTCCATAACTCGGCTATCGTGAAGACTCTGACGGTAAGTAGCTTCCTCTGTGGCTCACTGACTAGATTCCACAGGGATTCCCAGTATCCATCTCTCCCTAATCATCCAACACCAGAGTTGTGACTACTCAAAGATATTCTGGTGACCACTGTACTCACTTTTCTGTTTGTTTTAGGAGCTCTTAAAATATTGCATGACTTGTCCTCTACTTACATGTAAATACTGACTCTTAGCTTCTTTCCACCTTTTATTCAGAAATAGGGTCTAGCCTTGAGCTCTCCACAGCTCAGGCTGGTCTCAAATCCACAACCTCTTGCCTCAGCTTCCTAAGTAGCTGGGATCAAAAATCTGTGTCACGCTGAATGTGATGAGACAAGTACTCGGGAAGCAGAGGCAGATGGATCTCTGTGAGTTTGAAACTACTCTGGTCTACATAGCCAGTTCTAGGGCCACAGAGCCACACAGTGAGACCCTATCTCAAATAAAGTAAAATAAAATAAAACCAAACAAACCAACCCCCTGTGGCTTCAGGCCCTGTGTGATAGTTTATCTTAATTGCCATCTGGAATCAACTGAGAGGCATGATTCTGTGCTTCCAGGAAAGATTATATAGAGGCAAGAGGTCCTTCTATAGAGTGGGCAGTGTCTGCTGGCAGTGGCCCAAATATGAAGAGACTGAGAAAGTAATGCTGCTGGTTCATTGACCTTTGCTTCTTGCAAATGAGGGCATCTATCCCATAATTGATGCTGCCATCAGCTTTCTTTGGCCTTCCAATGTGGACTGAAGAGCAGTGAATCTGGAATCCTCTAGGCTTTTTTGGGGAGCATCCAGCCTCATGACTGAGCATCTACTGGCCTCTCAGCCTCTCAGCATGCAGATAGTCAGTGTTGGACTGCCCAGCCCATACCTAGTAGGCCACCTAATACATTCTCATAGTGCCCCTAGAGAAGGCATGTATACCTCTGTGAGCAGTCTGACCACCCTGAGTTTAGCAGGTAACATGGGCTCTGATCACAGCCTTTCTAAGCCATAAGTGTAGGTATCTGGGTCCTGTGAACCAGCCAAACTCCAGAGGTCACCTTGTGTCCCCAATAGGGCAGGAGTGTTTACTGGAAGGGACTTGGGATCCCCAGAGTATCCATGGCGTGGCAAGCCACTCAGGTCTCCAGAGAGACCTGCAGGTATTGCCATGGCTGACTTGATCCTCAAACATTGCCATTAAAAGTATGAAGTCCATTAAAGGACATGGAGAGAACTGCGTACCAACCCTCATATTCGTCAGGTGTATGTATATCCAGGGATGGCACTGCTCCGGCAGATCTACCGTGAGTTTCTTTCACAGAGGCTGAGCCAGCATTGTGCTCCGTTCCTCCCAGCAGAGTGCAAGTATTCCTTGCCCCTGCATCCTTACTAGGGTTTACTGTTTATTTTCCAGATGATAGCCGTACTGATTGGGGTACAGTGAAACCTCAACGTAATTCTGACTTGCATTTTCCTAATGGATATGGGAATCAAATGAACATCTTTTTATATATCCACTGGCCAATTTTATTACTTCTGAGAACTGTCCAATTCATTTGCCTATTTATTGATTAGGTGATTTATGGGTTTGCTTTTGATTTTTTAGTTCTTTGTAGATTCTAGATATTAAACTCCTGTCAGATGTACCACAGACAGGGAAGGACCCTCTCTTGTTCTGTAGGATCTTTTCACTCTGCCGATTGCTTCTTTTGTAGATTTTTAATCTCAGGCAGCCCCACTGGGCAGTTCTTTCTCTTCTCTCCTGGTCTAAGGGATGGCCAGGCACATTGTGAATAGATGTCCTGATCCTGCCTATCAGGCCTATGTTTGCTTGGTACTTTTGTTTGTGGTTCCTTTATGGGTCTCACACTCATTTTGTAACTCAATGTACCATTCTCATGGTGTGCAGGTGATGACTCATAGGTAAATATCCCCTTTATTAGGATGCTGCAAGTGACAGTCCTTCAAGGGACTCCTTAATTAAGCAAGAAGAGACAGTCAATCCTGTGATCGATCACTAGTAGGTTTAGAAACCATCCCAACCAGATATGAAATGCATTACAACTCATTAATGACTCACAAATGTAGTAAGGGTTTGAAAAGCAACAAGTTGGTGAATATGGCCATTTGCTTGTTGCATAGCCAGCTGCTCAGCCCAGCACACTTCTCCCCAAAACCCAGCTGAGATGGCAGCTCATTTATTCTTGCTATCAAAGTCACCATCAGCAGAAAACAGATGCAAATTGCCATGGATTTAGAGATGATTTGATCCCTTTGTGCTCCAGTCCTCTGTCTCACATAGAGTCCCAAAGTATTGCGAAGCAATGAAATGTGCACTGGCATATGACCTTTCTTTAAGGTGGTGTTGTTCCATTTGTCATTTTTTCCTCCCTAAGAGGCTTCTGACACAGGGGAAATGTGTGATTTTCTAGTATGACTAGATCAATACAAGTCGACTGGCTGGGTCTGATACAGTGGAAAGTTAGCCCTGGGGCGGGACATCATAGCACCCATCTGTGCTTCTGCTTCTCCTACTAACAAGCATGGGCAGAAGTGGCACTACCAGTTTCAACTTCTGCATCAAGAAGGTGCACTTCAGGGTGTCCTGGGGATGATATGAACACAGCTTCCTAGCTAGGCCTCCAGGGGAGGTGCTGCTCCAGGCTCCCCTCCTGTGGCTGTGGTTCCTTGCTGGCTTCTTTCTCGTTTGTATTTGGTGCCCTTGGCTGTGGTTTGGGTATGCTGGGAACTTGGTTTTCATTCATGGATTTTTCATGCTGCGTGAGTTCAAACCGGGTATGTCTTAGGGTTTGGGGGACGACTGCATCATGGCAGACACCCCCCTGAATGCTCACTTCTGACACTCTGGCAATGTTCTGCATGACTCGGCGACACCTTTCACAACACAAAAGAAAGCTGCATTGACTCAAAGGGCCTCAATATAAAACCTGGAATGCGAGTCTCACAGATGCCAGCCTTCTGCCCCAGCAAGCCCCACCACAGGTCACCAACACACTTAGAGTAGGTGAGCGCAGAGAAGCACGGCGGGACAAAGGGAGCTACTTCATGTTTTCTTTGGTTTAATAAATTGGATAGACTATCCATCTTAGACATATTTTCACATTGGTATATGTAAGGTTGCCAGAAGCTAGGCTGTGTTCTGGTGAGTTGAAAACAATCGAAATTCATAACCAAGAGATTTTAGTATTCTATAAAGGTTGTATTGAAATGTGATACTTAAATTGGTATTTCTTTTTGCAGTTAAAATACAATGCAGATTCTCCTTCATTCTGGATGCATGAAATCAACACAGCTTTGTGCATCTTGCCACCTGCTGGCAGCATTCACTCCCTTCAAGGAGCTGATTTGGAAGAGTGATTGGAAAGTAAATTTAAAGACTTCTTTACCTCTGGTGATTTTATTCATAAGTGAGTCATTTCATGTGATTAACTTTCTCTTCCTGGCGTGGGGGTGGGGTTTAGTAGGTTACAGAAGCAGCATGTGAGGTGTGAATAAGGTGTGTGCCAGGCCAGGCCCGGAAGGAGGAGCAGGCAGACTGGGCCCTGCTGGGCTCCTGCAGTGTAGGCTCAGGGTTCCAGGGCTCAATCTCAGATCCATCCCTGAAGTTCTTACATAGTGCCGTAGCTCACATCCGGCTGTGACTGCCATATGAGTTTCCCATGGGATGAAGTTTCCAGAACAGCTCTGAGAAGCACTCTTGAGATACAAGAGGAGACTGTACTCAATCTGCACCCATTCCCCTATATTTAAAGGAATGAGTAGGCTTGGCGGTTTTACATTTTAGAAACTTCCCATTTTTCAAAGAGCAATATAGGAGGGTGAATTGAGCCCAAAAGTTTGAAACCAGTCTGGGCAAAATAGTGAGACCCTATTTTGCTTGTTTTTTATTTTGATACAAGGTCTCACTATGTAGCTACCTCTGAAACTGTCTGGTCTGAAACTGTTATGTAGACCAGGTTGACCTTGAACTCACAGAGATCCACCTGCCTCTGCCTCCTGAATGCTGGGATTAAAGGCATGCATCACTGCCACCCAGCTAAAAGATCTTTTAACCAAAGTATCTTAAATAAAATATAACTGAGATAGAAATCACATTATGTGCATTCTAGTGGCACCCAGACTAGGAGAATGCTCAGAGGTTAGAGCAGAAGATTCAGTGAGAGGTTGATTGTGATCGTGTGCCAAATTCAAAACAGCAAGGAGATGATTTTGGCAGAACTGACAGGTGCTAAGATCATGTATGTATTAGTAAAACAGTGGCGTGAAACTGGAGAGTTAGCTCAGTGGCTTAGAGCACTTGTTGCTCTTGTAGAAGACCTCAGTTTGATTCTCAGTACTCACATAGCAGCTCACGACCTCCCAAAACTCCAATCCCAGGGCATCCAATGCCCTCTTCTGGCTTCTGTGGGTGCTAGGCATGAATATAGTGTATAGACATATATGCAGGTAAAACAAACACATAAAATAAAATAAACATAAAATAATTTTAGAACGTGCAATGCTAAATGATGACACGGAATTATAATGGCAATTAAGGATGCCATTAGTGTTGAGCTGTGTGTATATGAAATCTAAATTAAAATCTCATGGACTTTATTTGTATTATCTGTACTTATTTCATTAATACTAAGCTATGAAACAATTATTAAAACATGCAAGTTCTGTATTGCTAAGATAAAAATTATGAATTGCTTTTTAACATCTTAAGTAGAAATCTAAATTCCAGCAAAAGAATATCAGATTATTACTAACACGTTAGCATGTGATAAACTATTATGTTTCAATAACACATTCATGGAGCTGGAAAGATGAATCAGTACTGGCTGCTCTTACAGAGGGTCCAGGCTGTTCTGAGCACCCACGTGGTGGCTCTCCACTGCCTGTAACCTCAGCTCCGGGAGGTCTGGTGAGGGGGCTTCCGAGAGCACCTGCATGCACACTGTACATACGGTCAGACACACACCTACACATAAATACAAGATTTAAAAACATGCTAATGGTGCACTTTCTAAGTTCCTCATCATGTTTATATAAATTGATGCGAGACACTGTTTTTTTAACGTGTTACCACTGTCTAATTAAAAGAGAATTAAAGAATGCTTACAAAAGAGAAGCTATTTCAAGTTATTTGGTATCTTGTCACTTCCACATAACAGGATCATTACTATTCACTCGGTACCTTTTGAAGAGCTGAGTCTGTTAGTACAGGCTGAGATGGGAGGAGCTGGGCATTAGCTCAGTGCTGGAGTGTTTGGTTCATTCCCAGGATTGCAGTTTTTCTTGTGAAGAAATTCTCAATGTGAGTTTGTATCATCACTTGACATTTCAGCCATTCACACGATGTCCTCTAAGTGTATCACTTATAGCTTAAAAGACTTCCTTTTTCTGTTTGTTATCTGTCTATAATTGATTGTATATGTTATAAACATGTGCATTTCAATGTAGCCACTTCATTTCACCTAATTTTGTCACTTTTTCTAGAAGTGTTGTCTGCACAGTTGTCACTCTGTAGTGTCTGAATGAGCACAGCTTGAAACGTTGTCAGGGACTTGGAGGTTAAGAACACCGGCTGCTCTTCCAGAGGTTCTGAGTTCAATTCCCAGCAACCACATAGTGGCTCACAACCATCGAGAATGAGATCTGGAGCCCTCTTCTGGCCTGCAGGTGCACATGCAGGCAGAACACTACGTATAAATAAATAAATAAACAAACAAACAAATAAATAAATGCAGAAACAGAGAAAGAAAGGTTGCCAGATGTGTCAGTTCTTTGTCTTGAGATAAGGTTTTATTTATTCAATTTTATACATTTGTCTTTTAATAATTATTTCTATTTTTGAATATAATATAGCTAAATAATTCCCCCTTCCCTTTCCCCCCTTCTTGCTCTTTCAAATTCATGACCTCTTTTCCCATTAATTGTTGTTACATGCATATATGTATATACATATTTATTTCTGAGAACCATCTGTAGAATGTTGCTTGTATGTATGTTTTCAGTGCTGATCGTTTGGTATTGGATAACTAATCATGCTCATCCCTGAGGAAGGCTATTTCTTCAGCTCTCAGTGTTTCTTTAGTTGCTTGCAGTTCTTTGTGTAGAGCTGAAGCCTCCGTGGCTCTTCCCTGTTCACATTAGCTTGTCTACACTGGCTGCTCTTCCAGAAGACTCAGGTTCAACTTCCAACATCCACCTGGCAGTTTACAACCATCTATAATTCCAGTTCTATGGAATCCAATGCCCTCTTCTAGCTTCCACAGGCAATAGACACGCATGTGATATACAAACATCCATTCACCCATATACATTAAACAAATTTTTTAAAAGTCTTCTTCCATGATCTTGTTGAACGTTTGGTCTATACCATTGACGTGGGGTTCTTCTCCCTCATCTATGCTCAGAATTGAAGGTTTAGTCTTTTCATGGTGTTCCACATTTCCAGTGTGTGCCTTTCCTTTGTTTTAATTTTTTCATATTCCTTGCTTATTGGTCTAGATCCTCTGCTGTGTCTTCTATTTCTAAGACATTTCTTTGAGTTTCCTAGTTGAGCTACTTAGGGCATCTCAGTTCTGTCTTCATTTCAGTGTGAGTCCTCTCCTTATTGAATTCTGCCCTCACATCTTGCCTTGTCTTCCTCATTTCCTTCGCCTTATGTTTGCGTGGTCTTGGACATTGGTCAGACATTAACTCTCCTTATGTTCTTTCTCCATCATTTCTTTGAGCTGTCTGTGTCATTTTTAAACTGTTTGAATTCTTTGATGAAGTTTATTTATGACTGTCCTCTTAAAATCCCCTGCCCCGGGCTTACCTAGGTCGTTCTCATCTGCAAACACGGTTACAGAACTGGTAGGTTTTGGAGAGGAGATGCTGGCTTGATCTTTCATAGCGATTGTATCTGCAATGAGATGCGAGCGTGTGGACTTCTTTTGTTAGTTCTGTGTCTGCTGTGGATAGAGTAGGGCAGGGCAGAAGAGAGGGTGTGGGTGCTCTGGGCCCAGAGGTTGAAAATGTCTAGGCAGGACGAAGTCAGGTGGACCGGGAGACTGAGCTGGTGAGCAGGCTCTGTCCTGCTCTAAGCCAGGAGTGTGAGGATAGGTCTGGCTGGGTGGAGAGGTTGGATATGGTGTGGGAGGGACCTGTGGGTCAGGAACAGGCAGGGTGGGTTCTGGTGGAAGCCTAGAGGTTTGCTACCATGTGGCAAGTGTTGTCAGGAAGGGTGAGTGGAGGAGAGGGCCTGGCAGACTCACCTTGCTAGACCCCAGAGAAGGATCTAAAGTTTAAAGTAAACAGGACTTTATTCTTTGGCTGTCTGCAATATGAGAGTCCATATATTATCATATGAACTATAAATGCATTTATATAGAAACAAATTTAAAAATCTGCATTTTTCACTTGCCTGGTTACAGATAAAATTGACTGTAATTGATATCTAGAAACTATTTTCGACATAAGAGATTTCTGACTTAATAGTGATAAAGCAGGTGAGCACAGAGAAGTTCAGCACCTTAGGGCTCCGCTTGGCTAATTCTTCTCATAATTAACTCAGCCACCCACTCTCCTCTCTGAACTTAGCAGCCTTGGGTCCCAACCTGTCCTAGGCTGTTCACACATCATCATGCAACAAGGTGAGTCTCTCCTCTCCTTAGGACGATCTTTGCTTCTTGAGACAGGAGTTCACAAGTAGCCCTGTCTGTCTTGGAACTCACTCTGTAGACCAGGCTGGCCTCAGACTCACAGAGATCCACCTGCTTCTGCCTCCCGAGTACTGGGAGTAAAGTCAAGCACCATCACTGCCCAGCAGTCTATTCATATATTCTTAATGTATTACAGTACGAATAATGGAAAGGCTGATCCAGTCTGAACTGGTTTTGGTGTGTGTGCAGGAGATAAAATTGTGTCCTCGGTGCAAACTTTTATGGAGAATTCCTATTTACTATCTTATGCCCATGTCTAATTGGGTACATATGTGATTAAAATCAGATGCATTATGGGAAGGGACATGTGCGGTGACCAAGAGCTTACGTAATCCAAGCTTGTAGTCAACTTGGAGAACAACCCTCATGACACCTCTAGCAAACAAACTCCTTACTTTCTTAAACTGCATGAAAGAAAATCTCCAACAATAATCAGGGTCCTCGAGTGCCCTCCCTAGTGTGGCCAGCTATCAGCCTTGATGGTGTACCCCTCTCTAACCTGTATTAGCAATTTGCTTAGAATAAAGTCATCTTGGTACTTTTGCAGATCTGTATGAGTCCTTATTTTCAGTTATTTGGATAAGAGGCCAAAACATCTGGAAACACCCAGGCTAGATCCCAATCACTAGAAGCAGAGATGTATTCCAGGACTCATTGGAGGAATCGTTCTTCAGCCTTTCCTAATGACTGACAGCTTCCTAAAACCCCAAGAGTGCGCAAGGCTGAGGAGCAAAACTCAGAGGTGATCCCAGAGAGATTTGTTGCCATAAGCAAGGGGATAACTCCCGAAGCACTGTCATCCCTGAGGAAAGAGGGAGGGAGTTATCCTCACAAGTGGAGGCAGGCACATTCCCGAGCATGCTCAGTTCAAGGTCACGTGTAGCATGTTAAAAAATGGCGCACCGCAATGCCTTCCAAAGAGCAAGGTTTAGGTCACCGAAGAAGAGTGAGTCCAGAGAGGGTGTGTTTTCTTGTGAGCTTCTCCACCAGGCCTTACCTCCAACAGCAGAGTCTGCAGTCTGTGGACAAAAGCCGAGAACCATCTCTGCAGAGACTTGCTGACTGACTAGAATCCAGTCCCTGGGGAGATTGGAATGTTGCAGGTCCAGGCTAGTTACCTCATCTCCAGCTAGCTCTAGTCCTCCAAGACAGCCATTTCTTGCCCACCTTTGTGTTTGAACTAAATCTTGTGGGTAATAGATAAAAACCTTCGGAATGAACTAAATCTTATGAGTAATAGATAAAATCCTTCGGAACTTAGCGGATCTCTAGCCTCCCCAGCGCTAAAGCTAAGACTGTCATTGGATAGTATCTTGAACCAAGAGAAAGGCCTCTCCCTTCTCGCTGTCGCCTCCTTTCTGGCGCACCCATCCTTGGATTTTAACCTTACCTTGATTTATGACTTTCTTTGCTCTGTAAAACTTTTAAACTGCTTCCGTTTTGGAACATGGGATTTGGGTTGACCTAAATCTGTGATCCTAGGCCATGGTGGCTCAAAATGGCTCCAGAATAAACTCTTACTCCATTTCAGAAGAGAGCTGTGGTTTCTGTGACACTGTATACTAACAGTCATGTAAAAAAAAACAATGACAACAATAAACAAACAAAAATGACAGCTGTGCCAGGTGCGCTGGTGCCCGCCTTTAATCCCAGCACTCCAGAGGCAGAGGCAGGTGGATCTCTGTGAGTCTGAGGCCAGCCTGGTCTACACAGTGAGTTCCAGGACAGCCAGGGCTATGTAGAGAGACCCTGCCTTGAAAAACCACCACAAAAAAAAAAAAAGGAAGGAAGGAAGGAAGGAAGGAGGGAGGAAAGAGAAAAGAAGGGCAGCACAGCCAAGGACGTGCCGCCCGGAGCACCCAACCTGCAGCATCTGTAAGACCCTGGTAGCCTGGAGGGTCCGAGAGAAAGATGGTCTGCAGCCTCCCTTCCCCACACCAGAGCCCAAAGAACACTGAGGCTGCCACACAGAGCCAGAGGGATCCAGAACTTAACCTTTCACCTTTGCACGGCAATGCAGGCAATTTTCTCTGTGTTATTTTTATTTCTTACTCCCTGTTATTTAACCTCCACTCTTCATGTATGCCTCACAATGGTTTTACTTTCTTTATTTTTTGTTTGTTTTAGGTTTTTTGGGGGGGGGGTTGGTGTTTTTGTTTTTCAAGAAAGGGTTTCTTTGCACAGCCCTTGCTGTCCTAGAACTCACTTAGTTGATCAGGCTGGTCTCAAACTCTTGTAGATCTGCCTTCATCTGCCTCCTCAGTGCTGGGACTAAACCACACCCTGCGTTGATGGTTTTACTTGGATGGTACACTACGCAGGTAGGTTTTAAGACTAAGACCATAGCTTACTTTTCTTCACCCAGTTTACCATGCAATGGCGGACCCATCAGAATCACAACAGATCATTCAACTGAAACTTTAAAAGCCAGGAACCTGGCTGCAAGTATTTCAAGTTCTGAAAGACAGAAACCGCCAACTTCAAACCAAAAGTAGTGACAAAAGACTGAATAGTCACTTCATGCTGATTAAGGGAACAATACATCAAGAGACCATTGTGGTTCTAAACATGTGTACCCTGACTACAAGTGCACCCAATTTCACAAAACAAATGCTATTACATGTACAGCCACAGATTAACTCTAACACCATGACAGTGGCTGGCTTCCATACCCTACTCTCACCAACTGACAAGGCATTCCAATGAAAACCAGATGGGAAATATTAGAATGAAATAACAGCATAGTTCCATCCAATTCCTGCAGAATGTACATTTTTTTCCTTAGCAATCTATGGAACCTTCTCCAAACTAGATCAAGTCTTAGCATTAATGTAAAATTGGCATATTCCTTGTATCTCTTCTAGTCACAATGGAGTATGACTATAATTCAGCAACAAAAGAAACTCTAGAGCACACACAAATTCATGGAGATTAAACAGCACACTACTGAATAATGAAAGAGGCCTTGAAGAAATCAAGAACGAAATG